TTCCCGTTTCACACATAAAACGTACACTGTTACTCTCCCCAGTGCCCACGTGCGGGGCGGAGCACAGTCGTTAAGCCTATGTGCTCATCGTCTCTATGTATTCATACGTCGTGTGTGTGTGTGTGTGTGTGTGTGTGTGTGTGTGTGTGTTACATAAAAAAAGCTATTTCCATGTTGTGACCCACTTTTTTACCTAGCAGTGGGTCCTGAGTATTTTTTATAAATTCCTGTCTTAGACTTTCCAGATGATACGTCGGTTCTATAAATATTAGGATGAAACATGTTAATCAGTCCTGCATTCGTCCCAGCCACTTCTCGATGTCACGTATGCTCTCGGCACACCTGCCAGCACCTGTCCCCGCCGCCCCCACTAACCTGGCGATTCAGCCGCCAAATCCATTTTTAAATGAATGTGCAGACGGGCTCGGCTAAGGCGGCAGTGCTGGAACCGGCGGAACCTGCTTGCCGTGGGCATGTGCCGAGGGGCTGGTGGTTCCGTGACTAGACTCCCACTGCTTGGTGAGCGCGCACCGAGGGGCAGGCGGGCTGACGGCTGTTTTGCAGGTGTGGGTACGCCACGCTGCACCACGTCATCGACAAGTCCAAGGAGGACCGGATGGAGAGCTTCTTCCTCAGCGAGACCTGCAAGTACCTGTATCTGGTACGTGCTCGGGGCTCGCCCAGGAGAGAGCGGAGCCTGTGGGCTGGCCTCTGGCGGTGTGACGGTGGCCACAGGCACATGCTCGTGTGTGTGCAGAGGCAGATGTCTGCACTGGAGGGACCGCGGGGAGCATCGCCCCCCGCGTCTGCCATGTGAGAGGTGCAGACAGTTCTGGGGCTCCAGCCCGAGAATGGGGAGCACGTGGGTTCATCCAAGGGTTCCGCGCACGGCCCTAGGCCTTGTGACTCTCGCCGGGGGTCGGGGCGGGCATCCTGCAGAGTCTGGAAGGTCAAGTGGAAGTGGTGACTCAGACTCGCAGCCGGGCCGGGACCCCGGACGCCTCCCCAGCCGCTTGTCCCTGGAAAGCGCGCAGGCTGGAAAGCGCGCAGGCAGCTCCCCCCACCCCCCGCCCGGGGGCTGGGCGCCCCGAGGCCCAACCTGCCCGTCACCAATCGTGCCTTCTCCCCCTCCAGCTGTTCGATGAGGAGAACCCGGTGCACAAGTCCGGCACCAGGTACATGTTCACCACCGAGGGGCACGTGGTGTCGGTGGACAGGCATCTGCGGGAGGCGCCGTGGAAGGAGTTCTTCCCCGACGAGCGCGGGCGCGCAGCCGGGTCCTCTCTGCGCAGGCCGGCGGCGCCCGACCTGAAAGTCATCAACTCCAGCTCCAACGTGAGTTGCTTTTCGGGGGTCACTCTGCACGTGGACGGAGAGAAAACACCCTAATTAACTACGCAGACCGGTTGCCTGAGATCACAGAGGCGGTTCGCAGGTGCCGTCAGGGCGTGGGAGCCGGAGCGGTGGCCTGTCACTCCCCACTGAGGGGCCGATGGGCGGACGCTCATGTAATAGACCTCATTTGTCACGCAGCGCTGGATGGGGGCCGATCGAGGGGCCCCGGTTTCAGATAGGTCATGGCTGGTGGGGAGACCGGCTCCTCCCCAGGCACTTGAGGAGGGGACAGCCACAGAGCTGTCAAAACACAGAGGAGAGGGGAACCACCTGCTGGAGAAAGCCCGGAGGGCTTCCCGGAGGAGCTGGCTTTTCAGCAGGTCCTGGAGGGGGAGGAGGCCTTACAGGGAGGATGCTCAGGCAGAAGGAGGCAGGGTGTGGGGGTGGATGCCGGGACCAGTGAGTCCCCGTGGGGACGTGTTCCTTGGGGAAGAGCCAGTGATGATGCGTGTGGAAACTGCTTCCAGACAACATGTTTGGTTCCCAAACTCTCCTTCGAGGGGAGGGAGGAGGCCTCCAATCACACACAGAGAAGCACTGGTGCGCGTTCAGGTTCCGGCTGTGGAGAGAGGAGCTGTGAACGCAGAGGAGCCACAGGATTCCCAAAGGGCGTTTTCCGCAGCTCTGGGCGGAGTGGGACCTGGGAGGCCTCTCGGAGTCCCGGCCACTGCGCACTGCGTGGACCTCAGCCTCCGGGTCCCCGCCTGTGCCCCTGGGAGGCGAGGCGCTCCACCACCCCAGTGCTCCCAGCCGGGGTGCCCGCTCCTCCAGGGACAGTGGCCGTGTCGGGGTGGGGCCGGGTCATTTCGTGGCAGAGGCCAGGGATGCTGCTAGCTCCTGCGTCACACGGGACGCTCGACCTGTTGGCACTGCCCGGCCAAGAGGCCAGTCGGTTCATCCACCCCATTTCCTGAGGATCAGCACATGGAGTTTTGTTTTTAATTTTTTTTTTATTGATATTAGGATGGGAGAGGGAGGGAGGGAGAGACAGAAACATCAATGATGGGAGAGAATCATTGGTTGCCTGTCCCCCTTTACTGGGGATCAAGCCCCCAACCCGGGCATGTGCCCTGACCTGGAATTGAACTGTGACCTCCTGTTCATAGGTCAACACTCAACCACTGAGCGACACTGGCCGGGTCAACACATGGATTTTTTTTATTTTTTTTTAAATATATATTTTTATTGATTTCAGAGAGGAAGTGAGAGGGAGAGAGAGATAGAAACATCAATGATGAGAGAGAATC